CTCCAAGCAGGTGAACAGTGCTCATGTTAGTGTGTACGAGGTGCTCATCCACTGTCTTTCTCTCCAGGTTGACGACGCCATCGCCGTTCCTGACGCCCCTGCAGCGCCATACGTGGGGCCGCCTCTCATCTCTACCCTTAAGATAACTCACAAACACCTCGACAATGGTCGTCTAAAAGTGGCTGACATTCTTCGGGACGTCCTGCATCGATGGGCCATTCCTCGCAGGCTGAAGAACTTACATGGCGAAGGCTCTGAGGACCTGCTGCAGGTCGTGGGGCCACACCTCGAGGAGCTGGGGTTCCCGTACACCTGGGAGGCTCAGCCCAGCGTCATGGAGGAAGTGGAGAAGATGTCGGGACTCAAAAGACTAGATGTTACATGCGCTAAGAATGTTAACCACCCGGACCTACCGTTGCTGTTGGAAGAACTCTCTGTGTGTTACATGACTGTGAATCAGCTGCGATGTGTTGAACGCATGCCCAGGCTGCGCAGCTTGTGTGTGTTTAATTACCATGGTCCAAATCTGACTTTGCCCCCCTCGCAGCATGGCAGGCTGCTTTGGCTTCAGGTGGCCATTAATGCTAAGCACAGGCCCACCATGCTTCTCATTCGCGCTCATGCCTCATCTCTGCGGGAACTACGTGTATGCTGTACCTTCTCTCCCGACATGGCCTTCTACTTCCCCGACCTGGCCCAGGAGCTGGCGGATTGCGGCCTTCGCGCCTTGCAGCGGGTCGTCCTTGTACGTCCAGAGAAATATATTTGCTCGGATCGGTCTGCTGGCTGCGTGTTGCAGCGAAGAAATATCCGAAGCGTATTCCCATCGTCTGTCGACGTTGTTTGCAGATCGTGTCACTCACTGGAATTTTAGTTGAATTAATTGCCGCAATATGTTTTTCCGCGCGATATGTAGCGATATGCCATCTTTGCTCTTAACTAAACCTTTACGCGTTCAAAACCCCAGCTGCAAGGACGTTTTAAACCTGTGAAGATGTTCTAAAAATTATGTTGCTCTTCTTTCATAAATACTAAGGTACTTTTACAGTTTTGTCTTTTAAAATCATGGTTTTAATTAAGTAATAAATGCGTATTTTGTTTCATCTGCGCCCGGAGATTTGATTTATCCTGGTCTATATGTATACAAATCAGCAAGCCACCTAAGCAGCAAGGCAACCAGACTGAGGGTAAGCCGTGCGGAGGCAGACGTTGACGGCGTGGAGTCGAAGCCCGCGACACGTGCGGACCTAGTGAGGCTCGGGCTCGGGGTACTGGTTCCGCGGGGAGCCGTCCTACGTTCATGCTTCGAGAGCTCTGAGCCTCCGCCTTGCGCCGCCGGGGTCAGGTCAGACAGCTCATACCGATCCGTGTCTCGCGGTATACCAGGTGGCTGACGTACGCCGCGCACTTTCGTAGGTGCACGCGTGCGAGCGGGTTGTGTACTCGCACGAGGTCACAAGGAGCCGTGGGCAGCTACGATGAGCAAACCCGCCTGCACCCGTGCCCGTGCATGCGGTACCGTAAATCCACGAAAGTGCGGGGTGTGAGTCGACCACCTGATATTTTAACCGTCCTGAAATCTGCATGGCTTCACAAGCACCGAAAAAGTTATGCCGCCTGGAAAGAAACGCTTCGTGGGTCGTTCCCGAGGAGCCGACCCCGCACCGGGCCGGGCTGGTCCACCTCGGGACGGAGCGAGCGCCTTGCGGCGGCGGGTGGGCCGCCCGTACCTGCAGTGCTGCGCGACGGGGCGGCCTGCCTCGCAGGGGCGCGGTCCGGAGCGGAGAGGCTCGGCGGCTCGGGAATCCAGCCGAATTTTCAGTCGTTCCGGGCCGAATAGGTCAGACTCCCCTCCCTCTCTCCTTCCTGTGTGTGTGTGTGTGTGTGTGTGTGTGTGTGTGTGTGCGTAAAAGGGGGGGGGGGAGACCCAGTGGGGCGCGGACGCGTCCAATTGTTGGAAAATGCGGGCAAGCCACCCTGCAAGAAGCCCATCATCAAAGACCCGAAGCTGCAGCAGTTACAGTGTGGTGCTGGCGTCGAGGGGTCGTCAACTCCGATATTCCTTCGTACACGAACTGATATTACTCTAATATTACTCTAATATTACACATATTACTTGATATTCCACAATATTACCCGATATTACTTGATATTACCCGATATTACTTGATATTACT